ATGAAATATGTGATTCATCGAAGAGCCCACAAACTCTCACTCTATTCATTTTGAGCTAGTTCTCTGGGGATATGATGACAATAAAGCTGACTTAGAGTTTTTAGACTTGGTTCCTGCCCTAAGGTTCATCCAGAGTCTTGCCCACACAGAATCTACTAACACAGGTTATCTGGCTTCTGCATCTAAAGCAGAGTAGAAGCAGTAACTTTGAAAAATTTTGGAAGACCTCATAGGCAATCACTTTCTCAGCAATGATAAGTAACAGCCTGACAGCAAATCAAAAGACAGGAAAACTATAAGCTGTCAGAACTCCAAAAGCTTACTAGCCTAAGGCTGGTTAACCTGGAAACATCATACACTCATCAGTGGACTGAAGACATCGCCTTACGCGGCAGGTCATGAAAACTCAGGGGTCAGGCAAGTAACAGAAATGAGGAAAACAGGTGAGTGAGGACTAGCAAACTGGAGTGGGCGTGCCCTGTCTGAAGGGGGCACCTGCTGAGTTACTCAGTTGGAGCTGATTCTTGTCACGCAAAATGAGAGCCTGCTCTTGCCAGATCTGAGTTTTTTCAGTAGAAGCCAGGAATCTGGATTTTTATGGAAATCAGATTTTTAAAAATACTGGCACCAGATTCAATAGAAAGAAAGAGAGGAAAGAAGAAGAAGGGGGAGGAGCAAAGAAAGAGAGGGAAAGGTAGAAAGAAGGGCAGGGAGAGAAAGAAACACCATGTGAAAGCAAGCCTGCTTTGCAGGCCAGCTGTTGCCACAGTGGAGGGGGGGGCTGCCAATGTTGAGACTGTTCCAGGACACAAAATATGGATGCTCATGGCAAGAAGGCTGCGTCACTGTGGCAAGCTCACCTGGGTTCATTATAACCACCTTAGGAAGCAGAGGGCTGTAGTACGTTAAGAAAGTCTTTATCCCAGTGGATAAACAGTAGTTCTGAACCTTATTTGGGTCTTGGTCCCCTTTGAGAGCCTAGTAAGAGCTGAAGATTACCTTCAGGAGAATGCTCTTATGACACGCCCACATGCACAAACACAAGTTCGGCATGTAATTTCAGAGTACGCACAGACCTCCTGAAGCGCCTCTACAGGCGTCAGCTGAAGGCCCACCTTTTCTTCAGAAACCACAGCTCTTCAGAGTGACTCAGTCCCCAGAAGTTTTGCTGTACTTTTCAATTCTGTGCTGTTCAACCTGTCATTTTAAACTTGTCTCTGTCTGCAGTTTTGGAGAGTTTTCCAAACTCAGGCATTCTTCCTGTTAATTTTGAATTGGGTGATTAACGCTTGCAATTTCATGTGATGATTAAACATAAACCAAAGTGTATCCATGTGAATGGGGCACTGGAGGTGGGAATGGAATGAGTCTCCTTGCCCCAGTCCTAACCACGTCCCCCCAGTCTTCTCTGAGGCCTTTGAGACAAGAGGAAAAGAACAGGAGGCTACAGGGATGTTCTAACGTGGGCTTACTTGTGAAAGAACTGAGAAGGAGCCGGCGAACCTTCTCACAGCTCCAGCCTGCTGATGCGTGTGCCAGGTTTGTAGAGAACAGCTATAAACCTCATCAGGAACACTGGGCCTTCTCCTCAAAGAGGCCTTTAATCGTTGCCAGTGCGGGAGGCTGTGTTTATAGCAAGCCAGAACACCACAGCTTGGAACTTTAGTGTCTGAGCTAGATTTTATCACTTAAGAGGCACTTTCCTCCTCTAAAAGTACTGCTTTCTTAATGGAGATAACCCAAATACGTACAGACAGAAATAGCAGAAAAAAATCAACTGAATTTGGTTAAGATGTGTATTCTTTCTCTGTTAGCTTTCACTTCTGAATTTATGGTAAAATGAAACTAGCAAAATTCCCAAGACATAAAGTTCCTGCAGTTTATAGTTTGTTAAAGAGAATTATAAAACAGAGTTAGTGGCCACCTCTGCTTTTGAAAATACGACTTATAAAAGACACTTTTGACATCAGCGTGTGATTTGTTTTCTCTCATGAGAAATAAGATCTGGTAAGCTGGGAACTACTGATGCATTCTAGTTTTAAAGGCTAATTTATGAGAAATTAATTTCAATATACATTGTCATTTCTCTGCAAATGACTCTGAAATCCATACACTTGGCCTCATTCTTAACTCTTAACTATAGTTTTGTATCTCTATCTGCTCACTAAGCAGTTCTACTTGGAAGTCTTGTCATCACCTCAAACTCAACTTTTCTAAAATTCAACTTCTTTCCAAGATTGGCTCCATTGGTTTACAGTGACCCATTTCTAGCAGAAGTACCGTTCTTCTTCCCTAGTTCTGAAACCTAGCCAGCATCTTTGATCATTCTTTCTCTCTAGTCACCAAAGCCCATCAGTTATTTTCTTAAACATCTCTCGGATAGATTGATCGCTTTTTTTGCCACCTTTCATTTCTTTGCCATTTTCACCTTTGCCACCTTAGTCCCAGAAGTAATAATACTCACTTGTCACCTGGCCCAGCCTAGCCCTCCTTCTTGATGAGACTTACCATCCTCAAGCACAGCTTCGCTGATCTCATTGCCTCTGAAACCTTTACGTGCTCCCATCGGCCCACCTCTCGTTAACCAGGCACACAAGACCCCGTATCAGACCTGTAGCTCCTGTATCACTCACTGCTCCCCGGGAAAACACAGAGCAGTGCCCCAGTCAGGCCCATCTTGTCTGACCCCTTGCACAGCCCTCGCTGGCAGCCTCGCTGTCTTTCCTCTGACACCGAGTCCAGATGTGATCATGAATGTAGCGAAAAGACCTGCCCAGTGCCCAGCTAATAGGAGATGCTCAATAAATAGCAGTGGTTCAATTATTATTTCCTGAGATAATGCTCTGCATGTGGTAGTTGTGTAATCAATATTAGCCAAATAAAGGAACTATTTTATCAAAGTGATTCCTTTCTCCCAAAACCTATACGTATAAGATCTCCCACTTTCTTAGCCATTTGAAGAGGCTGCCCAAAGGGAAGCACTTAGAAATTTTTTAAATGTTCCTAAACATACAAATAATGAGCAAATATGATTATCAGAAATAATGTAGAATTTTTGTCATTAAGAACATTTATTTAGACTCTTTCTTCCAAAAAGAATGGTTTTTATTGGGCCTGGACAGAAGTTGCATCCCTCTTTACTATCATCTGCTACTGTGAATAACTACTAATTTAATTATAAATTTTAAAAATTTAGATTTATCTTTTTAGAACTGGATGAGGAATCTATTCCTCTTTAACACTGAGTTTAAAATTTAGTTTTCTTTTCTTTTTTCTTTTTCTTTTTGGTGAGGAAGATAGGCCCTGAGCTAACTTCCGATGCCAATCCTCCTCTTTTTTTGCTGAGGAGATTGGCCCTGGGCTAAAACATCTGTGCCCGTCTTCCTCTTAGTTGTGTTTATTCTGAGTTGAAAATCTCCCATTGGTGTTAGGCCAAAGGGAATACAGTATATTTTTTTAAAATTTCATATATATTTTTACAGTTATTATTCATACATTTTCATTAAGAACAACTTGATAAATACAGAAAACCAAAACTGAAACAATCATGACCCTCCCCCACCCAACACACCCATTACTAACACTTCATTGTATTTTCTTCTAGTCTTTGTTTATAGATTTGCTTATTTAAAATATGTTACCATGCTCTCTGTAAAATTTTGCACGTTATAAAAGGTGATAAAATTCTCTTGCCGCTGAATTTGAAAATCAGGTAAGTTGCTACCATGTATGGTTTACTTACTGTATGCCAGGCTTTGTACTAGGTACTTTACTTGCATTCTCTGATTTAATTCTTAAAACCTCCCAGTGGGGTAAATACTGTTACCACCCCCATTTACACATGAGAAAGCTGAGACTCAAAGAAGTTCAGACCTCACAGCTGGTAAAGGCAGAGGGGGGATAAGAACCCAGGCCGCCCAGCCGTGGAACCTGTGTTCCTAACCACAGTGCCTGCAGAGCACAAAACGTGAGCCCCTCTCTGTGTGACCAGTGTCGGGCATCAGGAGTGATTTCCTTGCTTTCCCACCAGTGCCCACACTATGCTAATACCAGGAATAGTATGAGGAATCATTTCTTTAGCCCCTATTTACATTATACGCCATCGGAGCCCCTTTCCTTTTGCTGTCTCTAATCTTTACAAGAACCCTTGAAGGTTTTTGGACTGTTGTCACAGTTGAGGAAACAAGGCTCGGCGAGCTCAAGTAACTTATGCAGTCACAGAGCTAGTGAGTTGGAGAGTTGAGATTCTAACTCCGTGGTATTCTCCATCATACTGCGTCTCAATAAGAAAATCTCCTAAGACCCAGATGAGAATGAAAAGAGAATTGTCCTTTGCCATTTGCATATTAGCAACATTAGTGTGTTTTCTGTGGCACCAAATTGTCTGGCTCTAGAGGGCTGCTATGCCTGTTTGGGTTGACTTGGGGTAAAGGAGTATATTGAGCCATGGGGGAGTCGACCTGGCACAGGGACCTCAGAAAACAAGGCTTTACTCACTTCCTGGTACTGCTCCTGTGGGAGCCTCCGAAATCAAATGTTTATAAAATAAATACCTAATGGGAAGGCAGATTTATTTGGACAAAATGTGTTATTTACATGAAGTACATCTGTTACTGCCGACTGCAGACATGTTACTGGGCCAAGAAGCTGGTTTATTTAAAATCATACACATTGAAAGGACCTTAGAAATTTAATTGAGAAAACTGAGGGCAGAGAAATTATGTTTTCAAAAGAAGTTAGTGAAAGAAAAGGATCTAGAATTCTCCACACATACCGCCCCCCATCCACTGAACTTTCCACTACACTGTTTTGCTTTACCTAATTTTCAAAAGTACGACAAATAGCCAGAAAGCAATTCAGTGATGTTTATCTGGTTTATGGAATGTGAATTTTTAGAAATAAAATTTGTCACATTTAAAAACCAGCTTTAATAGAATGGCCGTAATCTCAAACACCTACTAAACAATTGTCCTATTTCTGTTGCTGTCTTTTTTCCCTAGATTTAATGATGCTCTGCAGCAATTTTCTGAGTCTGAAATTTTCTATGCCTGTGGATCCCAGAATTTGCTAAGCGATGGAGGAATCTCAACACAATGATCTGTCCACAGTGACCCCTGAGAAAGATGAGCCTCTCAAGAGCACCTGCCCTGAGATTTCTGTTAGTGAATTTTCTTGCCACTGCTGTTACGACATCTTGGTTAACCCCACCACCTTGAACTGTGGGCACAGCTTCTGCCGGCACTGCCTAGCTTTATGGTGGGCCTCTTCGAAGAAAACAGAGTGTCCAGAATGCAGAGAAAAATGGGAAGGTTTCCCCAAAGTCAATATTCTCCTCAGGTAATGCTCAGTCCATATTGGTAGCACATACAGCTTGTATGGTATGGTTTCTCTTAATGGGAGGGAGCAGCCGTGTTGAAAAGGCTGGAGGCACAGAGTCGGTCTCCTCGGTGGTCATTCTGGATCTGCTGAAATGTGAGTCAGGGAGCTCAAGGATCTGAAAATCCAGACTCTCTTCCTCACAGGTGACTGTAATTTGTTTGTTTATTACTTATTGCAAGTGAAGGAAAGAAGTAAATTCTGGTTATCAGACCATTGCTTGTAATCTGTTGCCATATAATATTTTTCATTGATTTGTATTCACTGAGAACATCCTGAATCTAACAGAGAAAATGGTATAACTACAATTCTGAATAACTGGTTTCATGTTGATTTTCATAATCTTTAACTAAACCCTTGTTCCCTTTATCACATTAGTAGAGATAGTTACTCATGCAGAGTGGTACATGACAAATGGCAAGACCTTTCAGATAGCGGGTTCTTTTCTGTTTCCCTGTGGTTGTAATGTACCTGTGAGGCCTTTGAGGGTAAAATCCCTGTCTCTTGTTGTTTTCTTGAGATCAGCAGAGTACCAGAAAGTTCCATGAAAACATTAGCCCAACATTCTCTTTTTCACAGGAGATATATTTGCAAACGCTGTGCTCTGACTTGTTAGCCTTGGTTTACCTGAAGGTTAATCCTAAACTGAAGGAGGGTTCTCTGTGTATAATTGAAAATGAAGAGCTCTACAGATGGCCTCATGGTTGGTCTGTCTATGTCTTACTACTGAACTTTACTTTTTTCCCTTTTTTTTTTGTGAGGAAAATTAGCCCTGACCTAACATCTGTTGCCAATCCTCCTCTTTTTGCTGAGGAAGATTAGCCCTGAGCTAACATCTGTGCCCATCTTCCTCTACTTTATATGTGGGACGCCACCACAGCATGGCTTGATAAGCAGTGCATAGGTCCGCGCCCGGGATCTGAACCTGCGAAACCCAGGCCACTGAAGCAGAGCACGTAGCCTTAACTGCTAAGCCACTGGGCCGGCCCCTACTTTTTTCCCTTTTTATGAATTAATTTTTAATAACATAAGCCATACATATTTACATTAATTTGTTTACATTCTTTTTTAAAAATTAGAACATTACCCCTTTGACTCCTCCTCCCCCATCTTACAATCCTTCCTTTTCTTCAGAGTAATTTCAGTTATGACTTAGTAGTGATTTCTTTCAGATTTAAAAAAAATTCTTATACATATATTTGCCAATAGGAAATGCAGATATTTTCTCACATCAGTGGTATACTATCTGTATGGTTCTACAGTTTACTGTTTTCAGTCAACAATATGTATGTCTTAAATTTATCCATCTTGATACACAGTGATATCCAGTAAATTCGTTTTTAAAACTATGTAGTGTTCCATTGTATGAATATGCCATGTTTTATATAGCTGTTTCTCTAATAGTGGACTTGTAGGTTGTTTCTAATGACAGAGCCGTAACTAATCTCCTTGTCTATTCTTCTAGAATACTCATATATTATTAAATGTTGATATTAGTTTTATTTTGGCCTCTAAACATTGTAAGTGTATTTAGTAAAACAACCGTCTTGTCATTTTTTTCTGTTCTCCATAGGGATGCCATTGAAAAATTATTTCCTGATGCTATTAGAATGCGATTTGAAGACATTCAGCAGAATAATGACATAGTCCAGAGTCTTGCAGCCTTTCAGAAGTATGGGAATGATCAGATTCCTTTAGCTCCCAACACTGGCCGAGGGAATCAGCAGAGAGGAGGGGGCTTCTTTTCTGGAGTGCTCACAGCTTTAACTGGTGTAGCAGTAAGTTTATTGCTGTTTCTCTGTCCCCCTCCCTCCCATGGTTTCCACTAAAGTCATTTCTGTTGAAATACATCTAAACAATTGATGACATAACTGTATGTGGTAATTCACTGCATACATTGAAATCTGCTGGCTTGTATGATTCTTTAGGGATGTTGCTTACTCAAGTAGACAACATAATATTCAGAGCCCAGTAAATGTTGACTTTATCCCATTTCATCTTCTTTGTAACCCATGCAGTAGGCACCATTATTATTGCCATTTTAGAGATGAGGAAACAGGTGCAGAAAGGTGTTAGAACTGGAATTTGAGGCCATGTCTACCTTGATGATAGAGTCTTGAGCACAGCACTTTACTAACTTCCATTGTAGAGAATACTTTCTTAATAAGTTCCATGCTACAGAAATCTTAAATGTTACAAATTTTCCAATAGAAAAGGCACATGAGTCAGTTATGTTGGCCAAGTTGAATGAGGTCAAGGGTGCAGTGTTCCCAGATGCCCTGCGATGAGTCCTGTTCCTGTGTCTGTTCCCTCACAGCCTGACAACCAGCAGAGAGATGAGCCCACCAGGAGTCGTGCTCCCCAGTTCTCTGTGGCAGTGGCATTGCCCTGCCTCTGTGTACAGACTTGCCATCATTCCCTTCCAGCTCAGCCTCTTCCCTTCCTTGCCCCACGCTCATGTATTTAGAAACTGGCATCTCTGATCTTTCTGTGTCTTAAGGTCCCTGTCACTTTTCCCCAGGTGGTCCTGCTCGTGTATCACTGGAGCAGCAGGGAATCTGAGCACGACCTCCTGGTCCACAAGGCTGTGGCCAAATGGACAGCGGAAGAAGTTGTCCTCTGGCTGGAGCAGCTGGGCCCTTGGGCCTCTCTCTACAGAGACAGGTTTTTATCTGAAAGAGTAAATGGAAGGTGAGGAGCAAAATCTTCTGACACGTCACTGACTTTTTTTTTTAACAGCTTTATTGAGATATAATCCACATACCATAAAATTCACCCATTTAAAGCGTATAATCAGTGGTTTTTAATATAGTCACAGATATGTGCAGCTATCACCACAATCTAGTTTTAGAACATTCATCACCCCCAGAAAGAAAGCTCTTACCCTTTACTGGTCAGTCCTTACTTCTGCCCTCCCTCAGCCCTGAGCAACCACCATTCTACTTTCTCTCTCTCTGGATATGCCTATTCAGAGTATTTCATATAAATGGAATCATACAATATGTGTGACCTTTTGTGTCTGGCTTTTTCACTTAGCATAACATTTTCAAAGTTCATCCAAGTTGTAGCATATATCAGTGCTTCATTCCTTTTTATGGCTGAATAATATTCCATTATATGGATAGACCATCTTTTATTTATCCATTCTTCAGTTGATGGACATTTGGGTTGACTCCATTTTGAGGCTGTTATGAATATTGCTGCTGTGATCATTTGTTTAAAAGTTTTTGTATGGATATATATTTTCAATACTCTGTAAGAGTGGAATTGCTGGGTCATAAGGTAACTCTATGTTTAACTTTTTGAGGAACTGTCAAACTGTTTCCCAAAGTGGCTGTACCATTTTATGTCATTGACATTTTAATTTGTTTGTTGCTTCCTGATTATAGAAGTAACATTTATTATTTATTTTTAAAGATAATGTAGAACTATAGGATTTGGCAGTGAAATACTCTTGTAATTCTACTCATTAGAGAAAACTACTGTATCATCTTGCTGGACATCTTTCCAGATTTTTTTCAATGTTTATGCAAACATACACATATAAATGTGTATCATTTATTTATTTACACTGAAAATAGATTGTACTAAGCAGACCTGTGTTTATATGTATATATACATATGTATATATGTGTATATACTACAGTCTGTTTAATCCATCTCTGCCAATACACATTTGTGTTGTTTCCTTTTTCCTATTCCAGACAATTCCAGACAACATCGTAGCAAATGCCCTGGTACAAGGAACTCACGAGTCAAATTACTGGACTTTGGGGAGGCCTGCTTCTGCCCGTCAACAAATCCCCCTGCCCCCTTCTAGAGCACTGTCCATCTTTGTTGGAGTCCCTCCCTTCCTTGGAGGGACTGTGTAGGGATGTGACTTAGAACACCACACAGTGCTGAGAGCAGCCACTCTCCCTGATCTGTTTGTTTCAGACATAGCCACTCAACTGCCAGGCTGCCTGTCTGCCCCACCTTCCACTACAGTCACTTTTTCCCACTGAACTGAGTTTTCAACGCTCAGTTCAGTGACTCTCCTTTGGGGAAGCAAAATACTCCCACTTTGTTTTTTGTGAGAATTAGCCCCCTCCTCCAAATTGTGGTTAAAAAAAATTGTCTACTAAAAAAAAAAAATAAAGCTAATGCAATATATCTTTTTTGTGTGTGTGTGTGAGGAAGATCAGCCCTGAGCTAACATCCATGCCACTCCTCCTCTTTTTGCTGAGGAAGACTGGCCCTGAGCTAACATCCGTGCTGAACTTCCTCTACTTTATGTGGGACGCCGCCACAGCATGGCCTGACAAGTGGTGCGTCCATGCGCTCCTGGGATCCGAACCCAGGCTGCTAGCAGCGGAGTGCACGCACTTAACTGCTACGCCATGGGGCCGGCCCCATAATACAATATATCTTTGCACAATTGTCTTCCGTCTAGAGGATAGATTCCTAGAACTGGAATTGGTGGGTCAAAGGGAATAAACCTTTACAACTTTAGTAAATATTACCAAATTACCCACAAAAGGATGTCAATTTATACTCCTCCACCAGTGGTTGTGTGTGCCTCCTGGTCCTCATCTGCTAGTGCACAGGGATGTTTTTAACGACGAGTCACTGCGGAGGTGGCTTCATGTTTTCTAATGAAAGGGGAAAAAAGGGATCTACAGGTTTTTTTTATTAAATCACTACCAAAAACAACTACTCTTAATGTCATGATGTTTTATTGGATTTCTTTGCAGTTTTCTTCTATACAAATACTTTAAAAAAAAAAGTAATATGGGAGAGGTCAGAATTCACAGCTGAAAGATCAAAGGTTAGGAACAAAACAGACCTGGGTATGCCTTGGCTGAGTCACTGTATTTGTCTAAGCCAGTTTTCTCATCCACAAAATGGTCATAATGCCACCTTGCAGAATGTTAAATGAATCAGTGATGATTTATGAAAGTATTTCGAGATAGTCACTGGCAAAGAGTAAGCATTCAATTGTTGGCTGTGTCTAATATCATTTCATATATTGAGTGTCTTTCCTTAACTCAAGCCTGAAGTACTGGTGTTGATAAGATGGAACTCTGACAGTGGAAAGTTTGCTCCCAGTATATCATCTCAAAAGAAATATCCTCCTATCCCTTTCCCCCCACAGATTGCTTTTAACTTTGACAGAGGAAGAATTTTCAAGGGCGCCATATACTATAGAAAACAGCAGCCACAGAAGAGCCATCCTCACGGAACTGGAGCGCGTCAAAGCACTAGGCGTGAAGCCCCCCCAAAATTTCTGGGAATATAAGGTGAACTTTTTATTTTTTTAGTTGAAAAAAGTATGAAGAACGAGATAGCATTCTGCATGCTAACTACTTAAGAAAACACCACAGACACAATTGAAGCCCCTCACGTCCCCACCCTGTCTAGAGGTACTATGCTCCTGTAGCCAGGCTATGTATGCTTCCTAGGTGGGTTTTCCTACCTGTATTATGTGTATGTATCCAAGAGCACTAGGAACATTGTTCTGTAAGTTTTTCACCTTAATGTAAGAGACCTGAACTGAGCATATCCTTCTGCAAGTAGTTTTTCTTTCTATGGCTCTAGCTCTAGTTCACTCATTTTTTCTTTTGCACAGTATTCCATTGCACAAGTATGTGATAATTTATGCATTTTCTTGCTGACGAACGCTGAGATTGTTTCCATTTTTGCTATTAGAAACAGTGCTGCTGTGGACATTCTTTGGAAGTTCTCACGCTCATATACAAGAGTTTCTTTATGGTATATACTGAGGGATTGCTAGGTCACAAGTAATGCACATCTTCAACTTTACTAGATATTGATAAATTGTTCTTTGCTGTGGCTGCACCAATGGGTTCTCCTTCACAGAGAGGATTTAACGAATACTGTAAAACAAATGCTATATATTTTTTATTAGTTTTAGAATATCTGGGATATACCGACATACCCTAAAAAGACACAATGGAGAAAAATAAATGTAAATAACCAATAAGTTTATGGGAAAACATGCTCATTCATAATTAAAGAAGTACAAACTAAAACAACGAGATGGCATTTTTTTGACCTCTGGTATTGTCAAGGATGAGAATGTTTAACAATATGAGGAAAGAGGCACTTGTGTGTTGCAGATCATGAACTGGTGCAGTCTCTTTGGAGAGCGGTTTGTCAATAACTGTTAAAATGTAAACCACACCCACTCTTTGATCCGCAGTTTCCCTTCTTTGTATTTAGAGCACAGGCAGCGTAGCATGGTGATCCAGAGCAGGGCTCAGGAGCCTGACTGCCCGGGCTCCTCATCTGGCCCCTCCAGGGTGCACTGGCTGTGGGAACACCAGCAAGCACGGGCGTCTTGAGGCCCATTTCCTCCTCTGTAAATGGCCTCAAAGAGTCATAGTGAGAACTGAATGTTTGAGTCACAAAAAGTCATTAAACAAGATGTTCACCACAGCATCCTTGGTAATAGCAGCATATGGAAAAGAACCTAAGCGCCCATTATCAGGAACAGGAAATAAGTATGGCACACCTGTATGTGTAACCACTGCAAACAGAGGAGGTGACTCTGGGTGTGCTAACTAATAAGGGAAGGATGCCCAAGTTGTACTGTTAACTGAAAATAAAGAAAAAGTTGGAAAATATACCCATTTGTATGTATCTATATGTTTGCATATACATAGAAAATTTCTGGAAGGATATACGCAAACTGTTACCAATGTTTTCATCTGGGAATTGAGACTTGGCCGAGAGGGAGAATTTTGTCACTTAATACATTTCTATGCTGTTTGAAAAAAAATTGTGTTTACTGTGTACCTGTATTACTTCAAAACTAAAAAAAACCACTAGGTTAAAAAATTTTGAAGAACAGGCATGGAGGTCCTAAGGTAGAAGGTTTGTTGCTTCTTGTTTTTTAATTTTACAAAATCCCTACTTCTCTTTTATCATAAATTATTAGTTTTGTTAATGCAGTCAAACTCTGGACTTTCTGTAGCCAATATTAATCCTATAGTGGGTTTTAGTATCTGGCAGAACATTTCTGGGTCACGTATCCAGCAATGACCCTCTATTTAAAATACGTAAAAGTAATCTTAATATTACCCAGAGTGAATGGGAATGTGATTCTGGTCCTGGCATAAAAGCAAGTGAATCTTACCAGTCTGCTCCTTCAGATCTTCTGTGCTACCAGCGCTTCTCCAAGGATGGCCATTGGATGATTAGCTGAAAGGCCGTGTGATAAGATTCCTCCAACCCTAGTGTCCCAGTGCAACTCCTCCTGAATGCCACTGTGCTAATCAGGCTTGAAAGAGGGGGCTCCCCACTGCAGTGCTGTCATCATAATCACCTCACTGGGTGGTTGGTTTTTCCTCCTTATCTGATAGGAAGTAGCCAAGAGTTGGAATATTTTGGTCCAGGACTCACACTGACACCAGACCTACAAATTTGTAACCCGGTCATCTCCCTTTCTCTTGTACTGACCATGATGTGGCTGGACGCCATCAGACTTTATTTCTGGGACCTGTGTTCCTTTAGAGCGCGCATACTCAACAAGAGCAATATCACCCCCAAGGCGATTGGTTCTGGGGGTGGGGTGTGGAAAAGTCTTATATGTTACAATGATCTCTGGCCCTCCAAAAGACCACAGTACATAAACAGATATACAGCATTTCTGTGGTATTAACATTTCATGGGGGTGGGAGGGAAATTATGAAAAAAATGTTTTTAAAAGGCTCCATAAGGGGTGATAATGAACAAAAAGGTTGGGGAACACTACTTTAGAATGAAGGACTACTCTCATATATCTGTGTCTCACCTAAGTTAGGATACAAAGATATTTTTAGAAGTTTGATTTTTAAAAAACTTTTACTATGAAAACTTCAGACACACAAAAGCAGGATATAGTACAAAACCGCCATTTACCCCTATCGGTGACAGCAACTCATGGCCATGTTTCTTTCAATAAGACCCCTGTCTACTCCCACCCCTGATTATTTTGGAAATCTGAGATACCATGTATTTCATAAGTAAATATTTGAATCTCTAAAAAGTAAAGACTTTTTAAAAAACAAAACTAAAATATCACCATTGTACCCTCTAAAGTTAATAATAATTCTCTATTATCAAATAATTTGTCAGTATTCAAATATCCCACGTCTCCTTTTTTTTTTTGCAGTTGATTTGTTCTAACCAGGGTCCAAACAAGGTCCACATTTGCTTATGTCTCTTCAGACTCTTTTAGTTTAATAGATTCTCTCTCCCTCTTTTTGTTACCCTGCATTTATTTGTTGAAGAAAACAGATCATTTTGTCCTGTAGTTTTCCCACATCTTGAATTTTGCTGATTGCTCTCTTGTGGTGTCACCTAACAGGTCCCTTTGTCCTCTGCATATGCTACAATTTAGAAGTTAGGTCTAGAGGCTTGCTTTAGTTTAGGTTTGGTATTTTGGTAAGACTGCTTGATGTTGGTGGTTGTCAACCTTAAAAATAAAACAGCCAGTTATTTTACCAGCAAAACGAGTTTAGGAATAGCCAAAGAATTGCAATTTGGGATGTGCATGCCATGGCGGACCATAGGCAAATCCAACAAACAAGGGAGAGGAATGTTATTTTATAGAGAAAAAAAAGGAAAGTGGGAGGGGTTGGAAAATCCATTGGAGAAAAGCAAGAGTCCAGGGTGGTGATGGTTTCTCATTGGCTGAGTTACTGGGGTAGTCGATTTCTGTTGAGGGTGCAATGTACATTTCTTCCTGTAATTGACAGTTTTTTCCTGTAGACTTCTTTCTGTTGGGGTCTGTGATTTTCTGTCTTTCCTGTAATTGACCTGGAGTGCTACTGCATGGGAACTCCCCCTCCTGCCCTCCTGACTCCATTTTAAATGAGGTTTCCCTATATTAATTTCCACATACTGTTTTCTTCCATCAAGAGGCTCATAATATCCAACTGTTTGTCTTTTTCTGATGGTAGCAGCCACTGTGATCATTGATTATTTAGATCCATTAGTTCATTAGGGGTTGCAAAATTGTGATATTATAATTCTCTCATTTTTTATTTATTTGTTTGCTGAAATACATCTAAAAAAAAAAAGGGAAAACTTCCTCAACAACCATTTTGATTACCTAAGTACAATTTATACCAGAAAGGCAGGTTAAATGCTTGATTCTTTCCCTTTTTTTTCTTTTTTTTTTTTTTTTACAAGTTTCAGAATAATGATTTGGGGGCCAGACCTGGTGGCCTAGTGGTTAAGTTCGGTGCGCTCTGCATCAGCGGCCCACATTCAGTTCCCAGGCAACCTACACCACTCATCTGTCAGTGGCCATGCTGTGGTGGCGGCTCACATACAAAAAGAGGAACATTGGGGGCTGGCCCTGGGGTGTAGTGGTTAAGTTTGGTGTGCTCTGCTTCGGTGGCCCAGGTTCCTGGGTTCAGATCCCAGGCTTGGACCTACACCACTCATCAGCCATGCTAAGGCAGCGACCCACATACAAAATAGAGGAAGACTGGCACAGATGTTAGCTCAGGGCTGATCTTCCTCAAGCAGAAAAAAGGAAGATTGGGGCCGGCCCGGTGGCTTAGTGGTTGGGTGCGCGGCCTCCGCTACTGGCGGCCCAGGTTTGGATCCCGGGCGCGTACCGATGCACTGCTTCTCCGGCCGTGCTGGGGCTGCGTCCCACATACAGCAACTGGAAGGATGTGCAACTATGACATACAACTATCTACTGGGGCTTTGGGGAAGAAAAAAAAAAGGAGGAGGATTGGCAATAGATGTTAGCTCAGAGCCGGTCTTCCTCAGCAAAAAGAGGAGGATTAGCACGGATGTTAGCTCAGGGCTGATCTCCCTCACAAAATAAATAAATTAATTAAATAAATAAAATTCTAAAAAAAAAAAAAAAAAAGGAAGATTGGCAGCAGTTGTTAGCTCAGGGCAAATCTTCCTTAGCAAAAAAAGGAATAATGATTTGGTTCTCTATTATCGTCCAGAGGGACTAATTTCTTTCTTTAGGATCATTATCAACTGAGCCTTTTAACATTCTTGATGTGTTTGAATACATTTCAGTAATTATTCTAATTGACACTCAAATTATCCCATCATTTTTGAGTAGGCGTCTCCTCAAATTAGTTTGAGTCCATTTTTTAAATTTAACTTTTGGATAGAGGTGTAATGTACTTGCTAGCGAGTCCTTTTGACGTGACCTCATTAGTCTTGGATACTTTCCTTTGTCACATGACAAGATGTTCAAGTTAACTCTTGTACCTTTCCTGCCCCGGACCTGGCATCAGCCATTTCACAAGTTGGACCTTTTTAAAAAATCTTTTACTAGAAAACTTCAGGTATGTACAAAAAGAGAGAGAAGAGTGCACTCAGACCCAGCTTCAAGGAGTATCTACTCATGGCCATTCTTATTTCATCTATATCCCTCCCCTACTCTCCACACCCCCAATCCTGGCATTATATTAAAGCATATCCAAACATCATATTATTTTACCCCTAAATACTGCAGTATGAACCGCTAAAGAGAAAGATTCTTTTCTTAAATGTAACCATTGTTACACTTAAAGAAAATTTAATAGTAAGCCATTAATTGCATCAAATAAGTTGAATTATGTTTTAACAGTTTTATTGAGCTATAATTGACATATACATATTTAAAGTGTACACTATAGTAAGTTTTGACATAAGTACACACCTGTGAAACCATCGCTACAATCAAGCTGGTGAACATAGCCATCACTCCCAAAGGTTTCCTGCTGCCCCTTTGTAAACACTCCTTCCCACCTCTCCCCATCCTAAGATGTGTACAGAGGTATCTCACTGGTGTAATTTGCATTTCTCTAAGAACTAATGACACTGAGCATCTTTTCATGTGCTTATTTGCCATCCTTATATCTTCTTTGGCAAAGTGTCCATTCATGTCTTTTCCCCATTTTATTTGATGCTTAGTAGCATCAAGTAATTTTAAAGTTATTTTAAAATTGTAGCAAAATTTACAAAGGTGAGGAAAATGAAAAATGCCCGTAATCCCACCTGAGATTCAAACACGGTTAACATTGCATTTTGCTCTGTTTTCTTCTAGACAGTTTTCTGTGCACAGTTTGAACAGTCCTTTTGTCGATGTATTCATTCCACAAATACTGAAGGGCATCTGCTGTGAGCTGGGTGCTCCTCTAGGAGAGAGCTCTCGGCCTGAACTAGGCCTTGCTCTCAGGGCGCTGACACTGTTGAGATCGGATTGCTACGTGTCTTTGACTCTTTTTTTCACCTAACTTTACTGTAACGGGAGCGTTATCCACAGCCTCTCATAATCATTTTTCAATGGCTATATGAATTGTGTGCTATCTAGAGTAACTCCATTACTTAGATCACAGATTTCACTCCTTCTCTTAGACACAATGCAACACTAAACATTTTGTGCATAAAGCCTTCTCTATTTGGGATTATTTTTATTAAGTGATGCCCACTAATGGATTGGTTAAATTAAACATTTTTAAGACTCTGATACACTTTGCAAAATTGCCTTCCAAAAAGGTTGTATTCTACCAGCTGTGCCTAGGAGTGGGCTTCTCCTAGCCCTCCCCTCCCCAGCCATGGAGAGAGATTGGATCTTTCTATGATGTAGCCCAATAGATTGGTTACTTGGCCTCTTCTCGCCATTCATTCCTTCATTCATTGTTTGTGCAAACCGAACAGAAAAGGTTGATGGCAAAGGGCGTGAGACTGCGGAAGGAGTGTGGGTGGGGAGCTGGCCACCATGGTTGTAATGTGGCTCTGTGCCCGCCTCACCCTCTGCAGGCCGTGAACCCGGGCAGGTCCCTGTTCCTGCTGTACGCCCTCAAGAGTTCCCCCAGACTTGGGCTGCTGTACCTCTACCTGTTTGACTACACAGACACCTTCCTACCCTTCATCCACACCATCTGCCCTCTACAAGAAGACAGCTCCGGGGAGGACATCATCACCAAGCTTCTGGTAGGTCTGCAGAGCACCTTGAATGGATCTGGTCTACTGTTCCTCAGTGTGATATTGGAGACATGGCTCTAGCCTGTCAGGGAAGAGCAGAAAACACCTAGCCTTCATTTGAATTTCATTTGCATTTTGCAAGGAGAGCCCCTACAAAAGAAAGTAAAGCAGGAACTTCCCCACTCCCAGAAGCCTGTTTTGTTTCCTGCATTGCATAGCAAGAGGGGCTACCCTCTGCATTTGAAATATTTAGGGGGGAAAAAAAAAGGCATTGCTTTTATTATAAGAGAAGATAGCTTAGGTCCAGATTGCCCAAAGGTTAGATTTATGGGCCTTCTAGTTTGATCATCTGTCTCAACAGGATCCTCAAAGGGTGATTATTTGTCCTACCACAAGGCAGGGTTAGATCCGTCCTTTTGGCCTCAGAACTGTAAGCCATCGTCCAGCTCACTGATGGAAGTCATCATCAGCTGGCCACAGTGCCCTTGGCAGGGACCGTTACCCACCATAGCTCAGGTTTGTTCACTTGGACCCATGGATTCCTTCAGAATTGTGGGTGGATTCCATTGACGCAGGGTGATTTCTCTGTGTTTGCTTGTTCATTTGAGGTTAATGGCCTTTGCATTGCTACTCTTAGGGCAGTCTCTCTGATCTGTTTATATCTAAAAGTCACATGGATATAGGAATTGTCATATGTATATGATCCACGCCCATGAATGTTGAAACAGAATTCTTTAATCTCCCAAAACCCTTTTTTAAAAACTTCAATCAAGTGTCTGCCTGACTTCAGCCTTGGATGTAGTTTAAAACCTGCTGATGTGCACAGAACACCTGCACAGTGTTTCTCTAATTACCCAGTCGATAGCTTTTACTTGCCCTTGCTGCACTGGGAGCACAGAGACCCCCTGACCCTTCCATTTTAACAAATCCAGCAGCCCCTCATCAGGCTAATTTTTTCCTGAAATACTCAGTATCTGCTCCATTGTACACAGTCTTGCTGAGCTTCCATCAGTCTTCTGAATGCCTCTGAGTTGTTTAAAGACTCTTGTTAATTATCTCCTAATATCTGTAATTAAAGTTTTTTTATTTTCCTCAAAATTACTTTTTCATGGTGCATGTTTAATTTTCCCATGACCTGTTGAATTTACGAAATTGTTTGAGCTACCCATGCAGTGATGCAGAAATTTAAAAACTCGTTAGTTTATATTCATTTCAGCCTCATTATTTATAACTCATGCTTAGATTTTTACTTCTGAGCTCCCACAATTATATAATAAGCATCTCAGTTCAACCTCTTTGGTATCGTTTATCCTATGTAAGATTCATTATTATAAGATGAGTTGATGGATGGAAATTTCATTTCAGATTGTTGGCTATGTGTGTGTGTTTTAATGTAAAACTCACTGGGATAACCACAATATTTTGTGTAAAAGTCAATCCTCATGATTTTTTGTGTCCATTTTTATTTATTTGTTTTAAAGGATCTCAGAGAACCCACATGGAAGCAATGGAGAGAATTCCTTGTCAAATACTCCTTCCTCCCATACCAGCTGATTGCTGAATTTGCTTGGGACTGGCTGGAGGTCCATTACTGGACATCACGGTTTCTCATCGTCAATGCCATGTTACTCTCGGTTCTGGAATTATTCTCCTTTTGGAGGATCTGGTCAAGAAGTGAACTGAAGTAAGCGTCTTTTTATGTTGGAGATGGTTGGCGCAACAGACTGGGAAAGAAATGCCAAGTGGTGGAAAAGTCCTCTTTGAAGTATTACTCAAATGTGACAAGACTCCTCGGGCTCTGGTTTAGAAACGCTACTTAAGCAGTGAATAGGAAAATTACTTTGTGTTTGGAATTGGGGAGGTTTTCGTGGTGCTCATTGTTAGTGTTTCTCCATATATCTTATCCCCTCATAATAATGTACTATATAATTCCTGGGGGTGGGGGGTGTGCATGAATGATTTTGATAATTCAGAAATAAACAAGTGAGAAGAAGAGGGTACTTCATGGAAAACAGCAGTATGGTAGAACATTAAGAGATCTGGTGAGGAATTCTGTAGGCATGAGTTCTAATCCTGCTCTGCCACCAGCTTGGACAGTAATAACTTCTCTGGATTAATGCATAAAATGAGAGTTGGACTAGACAGTCACTGAGTCAGGACTTGTGGTTGCCAAGTGACAGAAGCTGACCTAAAGTGGCTTTCCTGAAAAGGGAAATGCCCAGTCAAGGCTTCCTGCAGGGCTGGACCCAAAGACCCAAGTGCTGTCACCAGGACTGACTGTCTCTCTCTCCCTCTCACAGCTCTGCTCTTTCCCGTATTGTTCAGCCTCAGGCAGCTCTCTTGGTGTGGGTCCCTTGGTGACTCTGGGTATGGATCTGAGCAGCTTAGCAACCCTGGTGGAAAGAGAGCACTTCTTTCCCCATAGCACTTATAAAAGTCTCAGGCCTCACACGCCTTTGCTCTGATTGGCCCAGCCTGGGTCACATGCTGCCCCCACCCCCAGACCTATCACACGGTGCAGGGGTATGCCGGCTCTCCTTGTCCAGGGTCGAGGCGTGCACTCATCCTCAACCAGGGGCTGGCTTCAGCCCCACCCAGACTACAATGGAAAGGAATGAGGGAGCGAGGCACCCCAAAGGAAAAATCAGAAGGTGTTTCCAGAAGAAAGGGGGTGGCTGCTGGGCAGGCAGAAGTAATACATCACCACACCAGCATCCTTTCAGCCTGAAACGTCCCATGACTCAACATCTCATGACAGCGTTCTTGGCCTCATCAATCAGGAGCAGCCTTATGAATAGTTCTGAGAACCTGACAAGAATCTCCCTCATTTATTTCAATTCAGTGAATTCATTTATTCTTGCACGGTTGATTAAGCCCCGACCCTGCCCCTGGCTCTCTGCTGGGCACTGCAGATCTTTTGGTAAAGAAGACAGTCTTTACTAGGAAAGCCTACAGCCTTGCAGAGAAAATATGTATGTAAAATATGTATGTGTGACACAACAATGCGGCAAGTGGTGTTGGGGCTGTAATGGGGAGGCCTCACCTGATGTGGGAACAAGGCAACACTGCCCTGCGGAAGCACCCTCCAGGCTGCGTCCTGGGAGTTGAAGATGGGTTGGTCAGGTAAGGGTATGTCTCGGGCGCCGGACAGAAAAACAAGGTCTTTGCAGCACAGGCAGCCAGACTCTGCATTGGGAAAAGGCCCAGGGTCTGAGCACTTCTGTGTCGTCATTAGAAGTACCATCACGATTCCACCTCTCAAACGTTTCTCTTCTTTTTTCAGGACTGTGCCTCAGAGGATGTGGAGCCATTTTTGGAAAGTATCAACACAGGGGCTTTTTGTGGCCATGTTCTGGCCCCTCATTCCTCAGTTTGTTTGCAACTGTTTATTTTACTGGGCCCTGTACTTTAACCCAATTATTAACATTGATCTTGTGGTCAGGGAAGTCCGACGGCTAGAAACCCAAGTGTTGTGACTGGCACTGCCCAGGCTCTGAAGGACTCTTCCAGCCTACTTGACATCTGAGCTCTGATGCTTAAGACGGGTGGACAGGGGCAGGAGCGGACTTCCTATTTTCTGCCCCTAGTAAACAAGGTGCTGCTTTGTCTGTCAAAGGCTACAACCAGGTCCTCTCTCCCTCTACCTGTGGCATCGTGGCAGCCGGAGCTGGGCCAACACAGCAGCAGCACCTCCCACTCTGCTGCCTTCCTCACAGGGACTTGGGAGGCCCAGTCCACGACAGCTGCCAAGGACCCCGGGTCCTCAGAGGATGCGATGTGGGCGACATCAGAAGGCTGCCATGTCAGCAGTCCTGCTTACCCTAACATCAGTGACTGACAAAGACTCCCAGGGCAAGGTGGAGCCCTTAGCCTGAGACCAGGCTTGTTGGGGGCCAGGCCTATCCTCTAAGTCAAGTTAGGAAAACGGGAGATTTTGTCATAGGCATAGATAGTTACACATAAAAAATACAGAGGAAAAACCAAAATCTGATCAACGTTTCTGTCTTATTGAAGAGGTGCTAGAAGGTTTCAGAGGTAAACCTCTAAAAGGATTCCGTTTGAGACTAGAATGATGGTTAGACTCATTGTCACTGTTTTCCACATGTAATCATTGAAAGCTTGGGTCCCTTCTATGAGCAGGGGGATTGAGTGGGATATCAGGCAATTAATGGATAGTGATTCACATCAGGCTGAGTTGCCTCAGTGCTACTTAAAATTGTTGTTTTGGGGTTTACTTTGTTTTGCTTTTAAGAATTTAATCTGTAAAATAAATTCCAGGATAGTCCTTTTGTTCAAAGAAACATTTTGTACATTGACCTCACACTGTATAATCTTTATTGTCCTGTTCTAATGTATAAAACAGCAAGTATAATTACGCCAAGTGCTGTAATTGTACTATGAATGAGATGAACTGTGGCGTTTTATCTCCTTCAGTGTAAAAATAGCAGGTGTAAAATGTGATCCATCTGAAGATTGGCCCCACAGAGATACATTTGCATCCAAGGTGTTTTTTTGTGACTCCACGAACCATTCATTAATCCTTTGTAATTTTTTGGGGGGGTGAGGAAGATTAGCCCTGAGCTAACATCTGTTGCCAATCCTCTTTTTGCTGGGGAAGACTGGCCCTGAGCTAACATCCGTGCCCATCTTCCTCTATATGTGGGACGCCTGCCACAGCATGGCCCGACAAGCAGTGCATAGTCCGCGCCTGGGATCCGAACCCACGAACCCCAGGCTGCTGAAGCAGAGCACGCGAACTTAACCACTACGCCGCTGGGCCAGCCGCGATCCTTTGTATTTTTGAAGATTTAACTCAAACTTTGCATCTGAAAGTTTGAAGAAATTACTTGAAATAAAAATAAAGATTTTTATACAGATAAAACTTCTACATAGAGAAAAATTGTTAAGAAAATCTGTATTGCCCAATACAGACTACTAGTCATGGTTAAGTCCCGCAGCCTGATGCGAACATTGAGCCAAGGAGCCACCCTAAGGTATCGTAAGTGAAAGGAGGGAGAATGTTTTTCTTCCTCCTGTGTTTGCTCCTCAGGCCCCAGGGCTGCCTGACTTTACCTGTTTAAGAATTGTGACCTGCCAGAGACACTGACAACACTGCAAGTCTGAGGACACTGTGCGGTATTGGCACGTTCCTGGTCTCATGCTTTGTGGGGTTACTAGTCTCCTCCTTTCCAGATGAAGAGATGGAGGTTGGATGGCACTGGTGGAGCTGGGCCCAGGCCAGACCACAGGTTGCCGGACTCCCAGTCCATTGCCCCACACCCACACCCCATGGCCTGCCACACGCTGTACCCACCCCTGCTCCCCATATCCTGTTTCCAAGGTGAGTAATACCCACATATGCTCTGGGGAGGAGGACAAAGGAGACCTGGCCTAGAGCAAACAGGCTGGGCTGGACTCGTGCTCCTTATCACCAGCAGGAGGGACAGGCACGTTCAGAGCGAGAGCCACAGGCTGCCTCTCTCCTTTCTAGGACTCTATCACAGCAGGCTTGGGTGCATCAAAAAAGAGTGTCTATTTAAATTATTCAGATCCTTTGATGCAAGAATTCCATTTCTGCAAATCTGGGTTAAGGAATAATAAAAAGGTGGGTGCTAGAAGGTGGCAAAGATAAATTCACAAGCATCCTCTTCACATCAACAACTGATAAAAATAGGAAATATCACCAATATCCAAAAGTTAGCAATCTATAAAATGCTGTCTAATACAGCTATTTAAAATGAAGTTTCCAAAGATTTTTTAATGACATGGAGAAAAGCTTATGAAAATCATACGGTATGGTTTCAACTACATTTTTAAAAATTATAGAAAAGACTGATAGTACACTAAAAGGCTAAAAGTGGTTATTCTGGATTGTGGGAATTGGAGTGATTTTTTTTCTCCTTTGTATTTTCCTTTTTTTTTTTAAGCAATGAGTATGTACTACTTTTATAATCAAGGTATTATTATTATTATTATTATTTGGTGAGGAAGATTAGCCCTGAGCCAACATCTGTTGCCAATCCTCCTCTTTTTGCTGAGGAATATTGGCCCTGGTCTAACATCTGTGCCCATCTTCCTCCACTTTCTATGTGGGATGCTGCCACAGCATGGCTTGATAAGCAGTGTGTAGGTCTGTGCCCGGGATCTGAATCTGTGAACCCCAGGCCGCTGAAGCGGTGCGCACGAACTTAACCACTACGCCACCGGGCTGTCCCCAAGAAATACATTTTAACTGTTAAAAGTGGAGTGGGATGGGGAAGAATACTCTTTCTTGAGCCAACAACTACTAGACTTGAACTTCACAAGGGTGGGCGTCGTGTGGCCGTCTTGGTGTTTTCCTCAACCCAGAACCTAGAACAAGACTGAGCACATAGTAGGTGTTTGTTCATATTTGACTGCCTGCCGTCAAGAGCAGAAGACAAAGCTCAGCCCTTTTCATAAAGGTTGAACCTCAAAAATGGCGTCCAACCCAATACAGTCATCAACACAGTTGTGGTTTTATAATATAGGCATGGGACTTTTGACCCTCATCAAACTGGAAACCAAACAGGCCTCCAGCCCCAAGTTCCGGGACGGGAGAGAAAGCAAACACAAGGGTTGTAGCTTAACACACTTGGCCTCAGTTCCCTCCTGCAAAGAACTGAATGCAGCTGTTGATAGTGAAAGGGAGTTTTATTTCCTCGTGCAAAAGGACATTTCAAGTCAGTCTAGTTAGTCACATTTGGGTGGGTCCCTCTCACATAAGAAACGGGGGTAGAAGAGGTACTTTAAGTTGTACGTAGTTGGGGCTAAACAGTAAGCAATCTCCTGGTCACACTTGCATAAGAGTTGTTTGCATTTGTCCTCCGTTGGTTCTGGAAGAAATGGGGAAACTGAGGTTAGAGCAGGGACTTGCAGAGACTTGAGGATAAACACAAGGAAAGCCAGTAAAGCTAGAGGCAGGAAGGGTCATAAATCACATCTGTGTGACACTTGACAGTTCACCACATGATCTCCATCATCATGGCAACTCCAGGAGGGAGTGGTGTTAGCCCCATTTTACAGAAAAGGAAACTGAAGTTGCCAGAGAATTATTTTCAGATGGCGAGTCCAAAGTCCGTACAACTCTTGGCTTCAATTCTGTATCAACACTACACTATTTCATTTGAGGATCTGTTTAGGTAAGCAGTGGGTGCCTGGTACCGCCCAGGCCTTTTTTTGGAAATGCCTGCTCTGCTACTTCCTAGCTGTGTGATCTTGCCTAAGATTTCTGAGCCAAGTCCTCGTTTAAAATGGGGAGCACTATCCACTGTGCAGGGTTATTGGGAAGCCTCGGTGAGAAAGCTACATAAAGTGCCCGCCAGGGCCTTGGCACTGGACACGCACTCAGTCAGTGCTGGCTCCACCTGCATTTCTCTGCCTTCTTTCTCCAAGTCTCTTTGAGGTGCTCCTTCAAGAAAAACAGCTTGTTTTAGGTGACAATCATGTATTCCATCTCTCCCCTCCATTCTGGGCCTACCTTACACAGGGATGCAAAGGTTGCCACCCCAAGATAGGTCTCCTGCCTTGGGAACTCCACTACTCAAGAGTCATTACTTTGGGTTGGAAAGAATTTGTGATCTTCAAGTCGTATCTTATTAATCTAGAAGGTATAATGCCTTAAACAGCTATGGATATGTCAGCTAGCCATGCCACCCACTGCCTTTTAGTGTGGGCTTTTAATTATTCACATAAATGGGAAAAAAAACCCCACCCACTATTAAATCCTTCCAAGTTCCTTCCAGAGGCACAGTGAAGCCTGAGGTTTGGAGTCAGCCAGCTTGGCCGTGGATGGAGTCCCTATGAGCCTTTAGACACATCACTTCGTCCTTCCCAGGCTGTGTCCTCAGGGGGAACGTGGGGAACTAATAGTACCTAGTTGTAAGGGCTGTTGGGAGAATGAAAAGAAACCAAGTTGTCAAATGCAGGGCATATAGTAGGCACTCAGTCAGCCAAAGCTGACCTCCCGAAGCTGCCAGCTGATCTTTAAAGATCCTCTCTTAAAATGCACAGTTCCTTGGAGACCCCAGTAAAGTGAAGCATGAAATTCAGAAAATCCACCAGCTTCTCTCCTGGAGCAACACCTAGAGAGCTTGGTAGCACCAGGAGGGGACAGAATGATGGAGAGTGGGGGCGCACATCAAGCAGGACGCAAGGGACCCGGGATGCTCTGGCGATCATCTTTCTAGGCCCTGTCGTGAGCTGAGTTGACTCAAGTGTTTCTCTGCATGACTGCACACAGTTTCCTCTGTCAAGCCCATGGCAGCTTCAAGATTATTGCTTTAAATCCCCTCATTTTAAAGTTCTAAGTCAGTTATTAAGTAAATTATAATTTAATTATGTTAAATTGTATTAAATTACATTAAATAAATTTTATCTATGCCATAAATATAAGAAATTGATTTAAAAAAAACAAGTAAAAACAAATAACAACAACAAAAACCAATGAAGATGAAGTTCTAATATCAAAATCTAGTTAGATGCTATTGCATACCTGAAGGCTGTGAGCTCCCAAATTGGAGTGTCTTGGTTTAAGAAAAAAGGGAGGTCAGAAGCATAAGAGAGGTTTAACCCTCACACAATTGAACTTCCTCCTTGCCTAAGTGGAAAAATTAACAAAGGACTGAAAGGGAAAATCTTTCTCACTTAAATTCATTTGTTAAGCTTCCCATACTCTAGGAAACTACTCTAGGAGGGAGGGCAAAACACAAAACAAACCCCTCCAACTCCAAAAGCCTGTGTTTAAACACTCTGCAGACTGCCTTGGTTGTAATTCATTAAATGGCTAACAAAAACAGGACGGAAAAAATGGGGGTTAGCATTTATCGTGCAGTTAACGCAGAGCCAGGCACTGGGCGAAAGGCTCTATGGTGCCCATGTCATCCAGTCATCTCAGGGCGGTGCCACTGGCACCCCCACCTCGCAGAAGAGAAAACCAGGAAGGGGCAAGGGGACTGGGGTCCCACCCCAGCTCTGCCTGACGCCAGGCCTCTGACTTGTCCGCAGGAAGGGAATGGGGTGTCAACTTGGGGGATGTGCCCGCGCTTACAATTCATGTTTATAACCGAGGATTATTTAATGGAGTTTTAATGACATGGGAAACAGCTTATACTTAAGAGAAAAATAAGGCATACAAAACATACTGTTATATTTTTTAAAAAATTATGCACTCAAAAGACAGGAAAAACACCAGAAGGTTAACTAAGTAGTTGTCTGTGTGTAGTGTCTCTGGGGGTTTTATTTCCCCTATTTACATTTTGTAATTTCAAACTTTTCTACTTTGAGCTGTATGATGGTTTCATCACGGAAAAAGCAATCTCAATTAACAAAATTTGAAGGGTAGCTATTTCAGGGTTTAATTTACAATATTGTTGATTTAAAGTATCTATAGGGCCGGCCCCGTGGCTTAGCAGTTAAGTGCACGCGCTCTGCTGCTGGCGGCCCGGGTTCAGATCCCGGGCGCGCACCGAGGCACCGCTTCTCCGGCCATGCTGAGGCCGCATCCCACATCCAGCAACTAGAAGGATGTGCAGCTATGACATACAACTATCTACTGGGGCTTTGGTGGGGAGGGGGGAGGACTGGCAATAGATGTTAGCTCAGAGCCGGTCTTCCTCAGCAAAAAGAGGAGGATTAGCACGATGTTAGCTCAGGGCTGATCTTCCTCACAAAATATAAAGAAATAAAGAAATAAAATAAAGCATCTATACCACTCAGTGGCAGTGCGAAAAGGAGGTGGCTTGTGAGGGCTTTAGAGGCCATCCTCCTCCCTAATCTTTACCAGGTCTCTCCTTACCCTCTCCCACAATTGACTTTTTTTTTTTTTTTTTGGTGAGGGAGATTGGCCTTGAGCTAACATCTGTTGCCAATCTTCCTCCATTTTTTTCTATGTGGGATGCTGCCACAGCATGGCTTGATGAGCAGTGTGTAGGTCCACGCCCAGGATCCAAACCCACGAACTCTGGGCCACTGAAGCGAAGTACGCAAGCTTAACCACTAGGCCACAGGGGCCGGCCCCACAATTTACATTGTTACAAAATGCCATTGCCAGGTAAATGCCCCTTCAGGGGAAGTCCTCCAGCCCCTCTTTCAGGCTGTCCCCCAGTCCTTCCTACATATAAATTCTAGACGTGCCTCAAATACACCATTTGACCCAAGAATTCTAGGACTTGATGCCTCAAAAAGCCTCACACAAGTGCACAAAGATTTACAAACAGCCATGGTCTCTGCAACCATGTACAGCAGTTGATGGGGAAATGGTCAAAATAAAGTATGCTCATGCCGTAAACCAGCTGTTCTCAACCATAGGCAGCTGTGTCCCCCAGGGGGCATTTGGCAATGTCTCGAGACATTTTTAGTTGTCACATGCCGGGGGTGAGGGGCAGTGCTACTGGCATCCGGTTGGGGGATACTGCTAAACATCGACAATGCACAGGATGGCCCCACAACAGAGATTTTGTCCAAAATGTCAGTAGTGTCAAGATTGAGCAACTCTAGCTTTAAAAGAATGAGGCCGACCCATATGTTCCAAAATGTCCAAGACACAATATTAAGTGAAAAAAATTATAAACTATATGTAGAGTGATCTAATTATTATTATTGTGGAGGAAGAAATGCCAAACTTAACAGAAGCTAGTTCAGTCTGGTGGATGGAGCATAACTTTCTACTTTATAATGTTTCGTAATGTTTGGATTTTTCACAACAAACACGTATTAGGTTTGAATCAGAAAAAGCATGTGGATGAACAGATTAGATAGATAGATAAAAATAATGTGTAAAAATTGGTAATAGAAGCAGCCAGTGCAGGAGCGAGCCCTTGTGCCTGTAAACCTTCCGTGGGCTGCTGCCCAACAGAGACTCGGACACCCTCAGAGCAGTGTGACTTGCCGGGGTAGGGGCTCCTGAGGAAGCCCAGGGTGGCAGTGTTCCCCACAGAGCTGGCTGGAGGCCAGCTGTCTAAGGACAAGGTGACTGGGATAAATACCCCAGCCAGCTCCTCTTCCCTCACCCATCCATCAGCAAGCCCTACAGCTCCACCCCCCAGCCAAATATGTCCAAAAGCCAGCCCCTTCCACCACCTCCACTGCCACCTCCCGCCCAACCCACCGCTCACCAAGACCACTACGCCAGCTTCGTAACCAGTGCCCGACTTCCACCCCTGCTCCCTCCGGAATATGTTCCATGCAGCAGCCAAAGAGATTCGGTTAAAATGCAAACCAGATCATGTCCCTCCTCTGCTCAAAATCCTCCCTGGCTCCCCTTCTCTCTCAGAGGAAAGTCTGGCCCCCATCACTCTGACATCATCACCCACTGCTCTCACCCTAGGTGACTCTGCTCCAGCTTCACCAACCTCCTGGTGCTCCTCAGACCACCCAGACATTCATTGCTACCTCAGGGCCTTTGCACTGGCCATTCCCACCCGCTCTTCACATGGCTCCTCTCATTCCCCAGGTCTCTGCTTCAATGGCATCCTATCAGTGAGGACTTCTCTGACCTCTGACCATTCTATACAAAAAAGTATCTTTCACCCTGCACCCCTGCTTTTTTTTTATTGGGGCAAAATTCTCATAACAAGATTTACCATTTTACTCATTTTAAAGTGCACGAGTCAGTGGCATTTCGTACATTCACAATGTTGTATGACCATCACCTCTATCTAGTTCCAAAACATTTTTATCACCCCAAAGAAACCGCATACCCGTCAAGAAGTCACTCCCCATTACCCCTTTGCTGAGTCCTTGGCAACCACTAATCTGCTTTCAGTCTCTATGGATTTGCCTATTCTGGACATTTCATATACATGGAATCATACAATATGTGACCTTTTGTGTGTGG